CGGGGACACCCAGGGGACATTCCCTTGGGGACACCCACGGGACCCCCGTGGGGGACACGGGGATCCCCGCAGCCGCGTCGGGGTGACGGGGGGTAGGACGAGCGCGACGGGGGTGGTGCCCCGGGGCGACAGGCGAGCGGCGGCTGTTGCTGCGCGGCTGTTGCTGCGCGGCTGTTGCGCGGCTGTTGCGCGGCCGTTGCGGCGGTACCTTGGCGCCGTTGTGGAAGACGCCGCGGCGCTGCAGCAGCCAGGCCGAGCGCTTGATGGCGGCGGCGGTGGCCGGGAAGGACAGGCGCTCGGGGGGCGCCCCGGTGACGCCCAGCGCCAGCGAGGAGCTCCACTGCGGGTTCAGCGCGTCCAGGTGTACCTGCGGGTGACAGCCCCGCCACAGCGTCACCCGAATGTCACCGTGACGGGGACGTCACCCGCACAACCACCCCCAAGGTCCCCGGTGACACCCGGCGCCAGCGAGGAGCTCCACTGCGGGTTCAGCGCGTCCAGGTGTACCCGTGGGGGATGTCACCGCAACGACAAGGCAACAACGTCACTATGGTGGGGATGTCACCCGCATCACCCCCCGTGAGGTCCCCACAGGGGGACCGTGACACCCGGGCGTGTGGGTGACGCGTGCGGGTGACGCGCGCGGGTGACTTCCACGCACACGGAGGACACCCAGGCGTGCGGGTGATGCGCGTGGGTGACGCGTGCGGGTGACGCGTGCGGGTGACGCGTGCGGGTGTTCTCCCGGCGCGCAGCTGCTGCGGGGCGCCCGGGTGTCCCGTGCGGGTGACGCACGCGGGTGTCCCGTGCGGGTGACACACGCAGGTGTCCCGTGTGGGTGACGCGTGCAGGTGTCCCGTGCAGGTGTCCCGTGCGGGTGTCCCGCGCGGGTGTCCCGTGCGGGTGACACGCGCGGGTGTCCCGTGCGGGTGTCCGGTGCGGGTGTCCCGTGCGGGTGACGCACGCGGGTGTCCCGTGCGGGTGACGCGCGCGGGTGTCCCGCGCGGGTGTCCCGTGCGGGTGACACGCGCGGGTGTCCCGTGCGGCTGTCCCGTGCGGGTGACACGCGCGGGTGTCCCGTGCGGGTGACGCGCGCGGGTGTCCCGCGCAGCTGTCCCGTGCGGGTGACGCGCGCGGCTGTCCCGCGCAGCTGTCCCGTGCGGGTGACGCGCGCGGGTGTCCCGTGCGGGTGTCCCGTGTGGGTGACGCGCGCGGGTGTCCCGTGCAGGTGTCCCGTGCAGGTGTCCCGCGCAGCTGTCCCGTGCGGGTGACGCGCGCGGCTGTTGTGCGCGGCCGCGGTCCCCGCGCGCGGCGGTACCTGGAAGAGGTGTCCCGGCGGCAGCGGCTGTCCCACCACCACGATGCCCTGGTTGTAGCTGGCGACGCGCGTGGCCGTCAGGTTGCCGTTGGACAGCTGGATGTTCTTGCCGTGGCTCTCCAGGAAGGTCATGGGCGCCCGCGGCGCCTCCGCCTGTAGCCCACAGCCGCGGGCACGGGGACACGCGGACACACACGGGGACGGGGGTGTCACTGCCGCGCCAGGGCTTCCATAGCGGGGACCCCGTAGCCCCATAGAGGGGCTCTGGGGCGGCCCTATGGCTTCCTATGGGGCGCGGGGTCGCTCTGTGGCTCTACAGGGTGTCTCTGGGGCTGCCCCATGGGGCTGGGGGGGTCTCAGTGTCGCCCTATGGCTCTATAGGGGTCCCCGGGGTGACCCCATGGCTCTCAGTGTCACCTTATGGCTCTATAGGTCATCCCTGGGGCTGCCCTATGGGGCTGCGGGGGTTCCCAGTGCCCCCCATGTCCCCACAGGGTCCCAGTGCCCCCCGTGTCCCCCCGTGTCCCCACAGGGTCTCAGTGTCCCC